TGGAGTATGTATATGTGTGTATATATGGTGTGTGTACATGTGTGTATGGTGTATATATACGTAGGTGTGTATATGTATATATATGGTGTGTATGACGTGTATATATGTGTGTATATATGTAGGTGTGTATGTGTGTGGATATGGGGTGTGTGTATGATGTGTAGATGTTATATGTAGGTGTGTATACGTGTGTACATATGAGGTATGTGTGTGTATATGTGTGTATGATGTATATATATGTAGGTGTGTATATATGGGGGGGTGTGTGTGTGTGTGTGTATGTTCTTGTCCATGGTTCCTGGCTCATAATCCCATAACCCTTCGTACAATCTTAATGTTAGGGTACTTTCAGCCTCAGAAGCAAGCCTCAGGAAGCAGAATCTCTGTCTCTCTCTCTCATCTTCTCTTGCCCTCCTTTCACCTGCCCAAAACAGGACTCTCACTCCAGAGAGGGTCCTGCCCTATACCTGGAGGAAGGAACGCTGCACTGAGAGGCCAAGAAGAATCTGAACAGATGGGCCTTGCGTTTCCCCCCTCAGTCTATTAGCGTTAGATCAACTCTATTTGTCCAATCACATTTCAACACATTCGTGCATGCTTCAGTCACAACGATCCAATGAAGTCTCCATAAACGGCCTGAGAAGACAGGGTGAGGAGAGCTTCTGGACAGCTGAACAAGAGGCGTCTGATAGGAAGGTACAAAATAACTCATCCACACCCCAATTCCACAGGAACAGAAGCTCCTGTGCTTGGGACTCTTCCAACCCTAGCCCTACATATCTCTTCATCTGGCTGTTCAATAGTATCCTTTAAAATATCCTTTGTAATAAACTGGTATATGTGTTTCCCTGAATTATGAGTCAATCAAATACATTAATAGAAGCCAAAGAGTATGTTATAAGAACCCCAACCTGCAGAGGGTTGGCAAGATGTCCCAGAGGCCTGGTCTTGTGGCTAGTGGGGCAGAGTGGGACAGTCTTGCTCACAACCTGTGGAATCTGATGCCACATCCAGGTAGACGGTGTCAGAATTGAACTGCAGGACACCAGCTGATGCCCACTACAGCTTGCTTCTCCCCACACATTTAGTCACAAAGCGTTTTTTTTTTTTTTGAAACAAAGTCTTGCTCTGTCACCCAGGCTGGAGTGTGGTGGCGTGATCTCAGCTCATCACAGGTTCACAGCCTCCCAGGTTCAAGCGATTCTCCTGCCTCAGCCTCCTGAGGAGCTGAGATTACAGGCATGCACCACCACACCCAGCTAATTTTTGTATTTTTAGTAGAGACAGGGTTACGCCATGTTGGCCAGGCTGGTTTTGAACTCCTGGCCTCAAGTGATCTACCCAGCTCGGCCTCCTAAAGTCCTAGGGTTACAGGGGTGGGCGGTGGGATCTAACCCACCTCGGCCTCCTAAAGTCCTAGGGTTACAGGGTGGGCGGTGGGATCTAACCACCTCGGCCTCCTAAAGTCCTAGGGTTACAGGGGGAGTGGGCGGTGGGATCTACCCAGCTCGGCCTCCTAAAGTCCTAGGGTTACAGGGGTGGGCGGTGGGATCTACCCAGCTCGGCCTCCTAAAGTCCTAGGGTTCCGGGGTGGGCGGTGGGATCTACCCAGCTCGGCCTCCTAAAGTCCCAGGGTTACAGGGGTGGGCGGTGGGCCACCGCGCCTGGCCAAGTCACAGAGTTTTCTGTGTTGATGATTGTTGTGGTGTGAGAGAAGAAAAATGAGTTAGTTTTATACACACAGACCCTGAGCACAATACTGTACCTAAATAGCCTCTGAAGATACCGGATAAACTAAGTATTTTATTCCTCCCCAGATTCCCATATTGAAATTCTGTACCCCAGTGTGATGGTATTAAGACATGAGGCCTTTGGAAAGTGATTAGGACATGAGGGAGGAGTGCTCAGGAATAGGATTAGTGCCTTATAAAAAGGATCCCAGAAAGCTCTTGGCTCCCTTTCACCATGTGTGGACATAGCACGAGGGGGGTTGCCTGCAACCTGCAAGAGGGCCTCACTGGAATCTGCTTGCACTGGCACCCTGGTATCAGACTTCCAGACTCCAGAACTGTGGGAAATAAATGCTTGTTGTGGCGGGACATGGTGGGTGATGCCTGTAATCCCAGCACTTTGGGAGGTGGAAATGGAAGGACTGCTTGAGCTCAGGAGTTTGATACTAGCCTGGGCAACATGGCAAGACCCTGTCTCTATAAAATATTTAAAAATTGGCTGGGTGTGGCGCCTCACGCCTATAATCCCAGCACTTTGGGAGGCCGAGGTAGGCAGATTGCTTGAGCTCAGGAGTTCACGACCAGCCTGGGCAACATGGTGAAACACCGTATCTACCAAAAAAAAAAAAAAAAAAAGGCCAGACTTGGTGCCTCACACCTATAATCCCAGCTACTCAGAAGGCTGAGGTGGGAGGATTGCTTGAGCCCAGAAAACAGAGGCTGAAGTGAGCCGAGATCGTGCCACTGCACTCTAACCTGGATGACAAAGCGAGATCCCGCCTCAAAATAAAAATAAAAATATACAGCCACGTGTGGTGGCAGACACCAGTAGCCCCAGCTACTTGGGAGGCTGACGTGGGAAGACTGCTTGAGCCCAGGAGGCTGAGATTGCAGTGAGCTATGATCACGCCACTGCACTCCAGCCTGGATGACAGAGTGAGACCTTGTCTCGAAACAAAACAAAACAAAACAAAAACAACAAAAAAGGCCCAACGCGGTGGCTCACACATGTAATCCAGGCACTTTGTGAGGCCAAGGTGGGAGGAGAGCTTGTGCTCATGAGATCAAGACCAGCCTGGGCAACATAGTGAGACCCTGTCTCTTAAGAAAAAAAAAAAAAGTTTGCCCTTTTAGTCATACAGTCTGTGGTACTTTGTTATAACAGACTGAATCAACTAAGATAAGAATTAAGAAGTGTGTGCAAAATAGACAAAAGACAGTTTAGTACAGAGATGTGCTTAATAAATGTGACCAGGCTCCTCTCTTCCTTCACTGAATAATCAATTGTCATGTTGGATATTTCCAATGTCTAATTCAATGGGATTTCTAGGTAATTTTGACACATACTGTTGTTTATAACTATTAGCAGTGCTTAATATTATGCAGTATGCATTCTTCTTTCTTATGGCTATCTCTAAATTTACTTCTTTGTAGCTGCAGTGTATCCTACGAAATGAATGTGATATAATTACTTAATCATTTGAATCATCCCGAACAGTAATTGTGGTCAAGGTAACACAGTCCTTGATTCTGTAGCAGTGGTCTAAATGTCCTTGATTCTATAGCAATGGTCTAAATGTCTTTGGGACAGGTAAAAAGTCTAAATGTCTTTCATGGCCTCCTTAATGCCACAAAATTACAGAATATCTCCTCGGGGGGGAAAAAAGGACATTGATAAACATACACAGTAAGTGTATATACAATATTCCTTGGAAAATTATAATGGAGTTAAAAATCAGCTAGACCTTGCAGGGCACAGTGGTTCATGCCTGTAATCTCAGCCCTTTGGGAGGCCCAGGTGAGAGGATCACCTGAGGTCAGGAGTTCGAGACAAGCCTGGCCCACATGGTGAAACCCTGTCTCTACTGAAAATACAAAAATTAGCTGGGTGTGGTGGTGGGTGCCTGTAATCCCAGCTACTTGGGAGGCTGAGACAGGAGAATCGCTTGAACTCGGGTGGCAGAGGTTGCAATGAGCTGAGACTATGCCATTGTACTCCAGCTCAGCCTGGGCAAGAAGAGCAAAACGTCGTCTCAAAAAAAAAAAAAAAAAACCAGCTGGACCTGTAGGCACACGTCTGTAGTCCCCAGCTACTCAGGTGGGAAAGGAGAAAAAAATCCCTTGGGCCCCGGAATTCAAGGCTATGGTGAACTGTGATTGCACTACTGTACTCCAGCCTGGATGACAAAGTGAGACCCCATCTCTTTTTTTTTTTTTTTTTTTTTTTTTTTGAGACGGAGTCTCGCTCTGTCACCCAGGCTGGAGTGCAGTGGCCGGATCTCAGCTCACTGCAAGCTCCGCCTCCCGGGTTCACGCCATTCTCCTGCCTCAGCCTCCCGAGTAGCTGGGACTACAGGCGTCCGCCACCTCGCCCGGCTAGTTTTTTGTATTTTTTAGTAGAGACGGGGTTTCACCATGTTAACCAGGATGGTCTCGATCTCCTGACCTCGTGATCCGCCCGTCTCGGCCCCCCAAAGTGCTGGGATTACAGGCTTGAGCCACCGCGCCCGGCCAGAGACCCCATCTCTTTAAAAAAAAAAAAACACACACACACAAAACAGCTTGGGCATGGTGGCTGATGCCTCCAATCCTGGCACTTTGGGAGGCTGAGGTGGGCAGGTTGCTAGAGCTCAGGAATTCGAGATAAGCCTCGGCAATATAGTGAAATCCCATCTCTACAAAAAATACAAAAATTGGTCCCAGCTACTTGGGAGGTTGAGGTGGGAGGATCACTTGAGGCTGGGAGGTTAAGGCTGCAGTGAACTGTGATTGTACCACTGGACTCCAGCCTGGGCAACAGAGTGAGACCCTGTCTCCAAAAACAATCCCACAAAACAAAATGAAAACAAACAACAACAAAAAAATAGGACCTCAGGTTAAGGATTTCAATTCTAGACCATTTGAGGCTGTGGTTCACTTTATGGAAGGCCCTCAGGTTAAGGAGAATAGTTCTAGACCATTTGAGGCTGTGGTTCATTTTGTGAACTTGCAAACACACATCCCAGTTACCTTCATATGTACGTTGCTCCTCATGTACAGACATCACATAACAGCAGCACTCACTGCGCACCCACACTCCAGCGTGCGGGTCTATGGTTCTACACATGTTAATGCATTTCACCCTCCTCACAAGCCTATCTTCAGAAGGCTCAAAAAGCTAACAGGCAGAAACAGAACTCAGATCTTGGTCATCTACATTTAATGTTTGGTCTTAAGTCTTATAAACACATATCATTTAATTAAAAAAAAAAAAAAGGATACTCATCTGACCCTTTAAGATGTTTAACGATTCGTCTTCCTCCTCGGGGATGCTTTTCCTGAAGGTTGCTGGCCTGGGGGAAACAGAACCAGAAGGGTAACACCTGCCATATCTAATAAAACCAAAGAGAAATACAAGGCCCCGAGATGGAGTTTCTGGGAGATTCCTGAAGAGCAAGCTGAGATGACTGAGATGATGAAGCGTGGAGCTGCCTCTCCCCCTGTCTCCCACATCAGGCACGTGTTCCTCTATAGGAGGAATTCTACTCCTGAGGCCACTGTCTCCTGTCACTCAGGCGGCCTGAGTGGAGAGCACTTCTGGCTCTGAAAGCGTCACCTCATGGCTGTTTCTGCCTTGTTGTTGGTGAATTTCCCGGCGGGGCTCAGGGGCTCATGTCCCTCCGTGGCCCTTGTTCTCAGGCAGGTAACGCTTGGTTAAGAGGTGAAGGCAGGGGAAGCAGTAGAGACGCTGGAGCCACAGGTTGCGCTGTCACACACACCTGCGTCACCCAAAAGGCCCGATCACCTATCCCAGCACAGAGAGCTAGAGCCACAGGTTGCGCTGTTGGAGCCACAGGTTGCGCTGTCACACACACCTGCATCACCCAGAAGGCCCGATCACCCGTCCCAGCACAAGCCTGCACGGACGGCTCAGCCTCACCACAGCACACGCTATCCCGAGACACATCTGCGCCCCTCATACCCACTAACGCCCAGCACGGCCACGCTGTGGGCCCCGCCACCTCACACAGTGCAAAGGTGCATCCGTGGGCCACGGAGACCCGTCCTGACCGCCGCCCCACACAACCCCCAGAGTGCACCTCACAGAGCAGAGTCCCCGGGACGCACTGCCGAGGTTCACAGGTGTGGGCTCCGTCGACCCAAAGCCTCTGGGGCACCCCCGGTCACCAGTTATGGGGCGAGCCCGGCTGTGTCACCCCACACTCTCCAGCAAGTGCGTCACCGTCAGAAGCTCAGTGCCCGTCTCCCCTGGGAGCCATGGGCGCCAATCTCACCTGCGCGGACTGGCGGAGACACAGCGGTTGCGTCACCAGTGCAGAAGCGCACCCAGCACGCCCCCCATCGCCCCCAATGACGCTCGCGTGCACCCGTGTCACGGTTACGGGGACAGGGCCGCCGCGTCAGCCTCCTACTCCCACGCAAGTGCGTCATACACTCGGTCCCGCCACCCATGGAGGCCAGCGCGCATGCGCACCCCGGACCCGGGAGAGGCCTCAAGCACCTAGCTGCGAGCGCGCGCAAGCAGCAGCAGAGCCCGACACGCATGTGCGTGCACACAGATCCCGACACACATGTACACCCAGACCCCGATACGCATGTGTGCGTGCACACAGACCCCCAACGCATGTGTGTGGCCAGACCTTGACACGCATGTGCAACCAGACCCCGACACACATGTGCGCGTGCACAGACGCTGACACATGAACACACTGACACGCGTGCGCGCACTCTCCCCACTCCTTCCTTCCTTGGCCTCTCCCGAAGCCGCGGGCGCACTCGGCGGTCCCCCTACCCCAGTGCTTGGCATGTACCCCTGGGTTCCTCCCAGGAAGCGAATGCCCTACTCAGGCCCAAACACACAGAGGCTTCAGGAAGGGATGAGAGGCTTGAGGAGTACGCCGGGCCATGTCTGGGGAAATCAGAGCCCCAAGCCCTGTGTCCCAGCATGCAGCGCCTTAAGTTCTGGGGGCCTCTGGGAAACGTAGTCCGGGACGGTCCCAGGCAAGGGCCTCAGGGCGCGTTCCAGGCAGGCAGCCCCACACTGAGTCCATCTTGCTCCCTGCAGACGCCCCTTCCCGACTGGGAGACGGGCTGTGTCACCCCAGCTGGGACCCCGTCTGGCCTCTGAGTGGGGTGATGCCGGGCGAGCCATGGCTGTCCTCAGAAGGGTATCCTCTTCTAGGCCCTCTGAAGCGTCACCTGGAATTCTCTGCAGGCCACCGGCCAGCACAGGCTGCCCGAGCTGCTTTTCAGTGTCCCTTGCTTGCTGGATTGTAAACAATGTGCAGGCCGCAGTTATGCCCTGTTAGTCACGCTCTCATTCCAAGTACTAATGTCGCAGGGTCTACAGGATGTTGCAGGTACTTAACCACAGCCTCATTTTGACTCAAAATCCCACTTTTTAGAATTTATCCCAAGGAAACAGCTATAGTAGTACACACATGTATGCCCAATATGTTTGGAGATTATCTTGTGTGTTGGAAGTTTTTCTTTGAAATTGATACAACTGTAGAGTCTTAGGTAGTTGTTCGTATAATACTGAGAAAGCCTATGTAACTTTCACTTGGTTACCCCCATTTGGTGATTGCAGTATACAGTATAACATCACTGCCAGGACATTCACATCATCCATAGATGTTATGCAAATTTCAAGACGGTAATTTTTTTTTTTTTTTTGAGACGGAGTTTCGCTGTTGTTGCCCAGGCCAGGATTACAGGCATGAGTCACTGCACCCATCCAAGACAGTAATTTTTAAAAATGAAAATCTTGCAGAAGATAGAGGAAAATATCACAGGAGAGTACAGAATGAATTAGTCTGCTATATAATGGCATAAAATACATTTACTAATAGTGATACTGATTCATGTTAATTGAAAGAATGTATCATTCATTACTGAGAGGAAGGTAGGTTTGAAAGGGTATGTATAATTTGGGAGGAGATATTTTGGTGAAACTAAGAACACAGGCTCTACAGTATAACTTTCAGAATGTGAGTCTGAGCCCTAACACTTATTAACTGCTGGTTTCCTCACTAATGAAATTGGGATAACAATACTGTAAGGTATGACTGTCTCAACTATTAATTATCAGAGTATCTAATACATACAGTAATATGTACAGATTTTTTAAGTTTGCGGTTACTATTGAAGATCAGTAACATTACACTGATCCTGAATCCAGTTTTAAAAAAGAAACTCATCTGCAGTTTTTATTTAAATTTTTTTGAAACAGGGTCTTGCTTTGTCACCCAGGCTGGAGAGCAGTGGCACGATCTCAAACACTGATCCTAGGCTCCTAGGCTCCAACCTCTGCCTCCTAGGCTCAAGTCATCCTCTCACCTTAGCCTCCCAAGAGCTGGGACGACAGGTGCACACCACCACCTCTGGCTAGTTTTTGTAATTTTTTTCTTTTTTTTTTTTTCTAGAGACGGGGTCTCACTATGCTGCCCAGGCTGGCCTTGAACTCCTGAGCTCAAGCAATCTGCCTCCTTGGCCTCCCAAAGTGCTGGGATTACAAACAAGGGCCACTGCACCTGGCCTGCTGTTTCTTCCTTATACTAAAACATGTACTTGCCAAACCAGCTGTCAATATAGTGAATGCTAACCAAAAAGAACTTTCAGAGCCTGATGTTAAGAACGAAATTTGTCTTGTTTAAGCACATTAGGTGAAAAGATTGTAGGACACATAAGGAGGAAATGTTCCCTCTGACAAGCAAGCAGGGGAAAAGAGAGATGATTCTGCATCAAAAATTGTGCTCAAATAATATCTTAGAAGATGCCAAACTGGGAACATTAGCAAGAGGATGAATCATGTGTTCTATGTGTTACAGGACATTCACGCAAACCATTTTAATTGCCATCGTACTCAGTTTCACTTGTCTTGGATTTGTTATTTGTCTAGTGGGTATTTTTTACTTGTACATATAATCATGGAAACGTTACTTGTACAAGCATATTTGTAAGACAACAGGCATCAGTGATTACTGTCATGGTCTTTGAAAGAACCATTAAAATCAAAGAAAATTTAATTCTGAAAGGCTGTAGAGCCATTTGTTCCAGAACCAGATTTGCTCCAGAACCCCCCTGGATATCAAAATCCTTGAATGCTTAAGACCCTTAGACAAAGTGGTGTAGTATCTGCACATAACCTATCCACATCCTCCTGTACATTTTAGATCATCTCTAGATTCTTTATAAATATCTAATGCTAATAATTTTCATACTGTATTGTTTAGAATAATGAGAAGAAAAGTCTGTACACGTTCAATACAGATGTTTGAGTCTGTAAAATAGGATGCAAACATCCTATTTTTTTGCCCAAGGATATTTTCCATCTGTGGTTGAATCCACAGATGCAGAACTCACTCCAAGGGTGCACTATATTTTTAAATAATTTGTTGCCATGGGATTAGTTTCAGATGATGTGTCTCTAATCCTATAAGGTGTAAACATATGAGAGGTTTTCCAAAACAAGACAAAGATCACTGGCACGTCCCTCCCGACCCCACACGCTCACAGGTCTAATGTGACCCGTGGCTGGGCTGGATGCTTTTTACAAACCACCACTTGGAAACTCTTTGATTCATTTACTTTATCAATTAGAAGGACTTAATGTTCCAGAAACAAAAGCACATACATGTTTAGATGGGAAGTGGAGGACTATAAACATATATACCAAAATATGATTAACAGTAATTATCTCTAGATGGAATTATGGGTAATTAATTCTGAGATTCTTCTTTATGAACTCCTTAAAGGACTGAATTTTTTTGCAGTTGGCCTGCATTAATCCCATTACAAGAAATGAAAGTTAAGGGAGTCCTAATTTTTAAAAATGATTGGCCGGGCGCGGTGGCTCAAGCCTGTAATCCCAGCACTTTGGGAGGCCGAGGTGGGTGGATCATGAGGTCAGGAGTTCGAGACCAGCCTGACCAACATAGTGAAACCCCATCTCTACTAAAAAAGACAACAATTAGCCAGGCATAGTGGTACACGCTACTCCGGAGGCTAAGGTAGGAGAAGTGCTTGAATCCGGGAGGCGGAGGTTGGGCCGAGATTGCACCATTGCACTCCAGGCTGGGCGACAGAGCAAGACTCTGTCTCAAAAAAAGAAAATTAAAAAAAAAAGATTAACGGCCAGGCATGGTGGCTCACGCCTGTAATCTCAGCATTTTGGGAGGCTGAGGTGGGCAGCTCACTTGAGGTCAGGAGTTTGGGACCAGCATGGCCAACATGGCAAAACCCCATCTCTACTAAAAATACAAAACTTAGCCGGGCTTGGTGGGGGACGCCTGTAATCCCAGCTACTCAGGAGGCTGAGACAGGAGAATCGCTTGAACTTGGGAGTCAAAGGTTGCAGTGAGTCAAGATCAGGCCACTGCACTCCAGCATGGGTGACAGAGCGAGACTCCATCTCAAAAAAAAAAAAAAAAGACAAAATAGACTTTAAATCAAAAACAGTAAAGAGAGGCAAAGAATGTCATTACATAATAAAATCAGTCCATCAGTCAAGATGATACATTAATTATAGATATGTATGCATCCAGCACTGGAGCTCTTAAATACACAAAGCAAACATTAAGAAATCTCAAGGGAGGGTTAGATTTTAATACAGTGATAGAAGAGAACTTCAGATCCTACTTTCAACAAAGGAAAGATCATTCAGACAGAAAATCAACAAGGAAACACTGGACTTGAATTACACTTTAGACCAAATGTGCCTAATGGCTGTATTCTGCACCATCTCTCTAACAGCAGCAGCATTACATTCTTCTCAAGCACACATGAAACATTCCCCAGGACAGAGCACACTAGGTCATGATACAAATCTTAAGAAATTTACAATGACTGAAATCATATGAATGATCTTTTCCAACCACAAGGGCATAAAGCTAGAAATCAATAACGGGAGAAATTTAGGTAAATTAAAAAATATGTGGATATTAAGCAACGTGCTGCGAAACAACCCATGGGCCGGGGAAGAAACTGTAAAAATATTTTCAGACAAACGTAAATGTAAACACAGCATTCTCAAATCTTGAAGAATGCAAGAGAGGCAGTTCTAAGCCGGAAGTTTATAGCAATAAATACTTATATCACGAAAGAAGGAAGATCTCAAACAAACATTTCAAGGAACCAGAAAATGAACAAATGGAGTCCAACGATAGGAAGGAAGGAAATAATAAAGATTAGAGCAAAAAATAAGTAAAATACAGACTGGAAAACAATATGAAAAGATTTTTAAGTTTTTTTTTTTTTGAGACAGAGTTCCCACTGTTCCCATAGACAGAATTTCTAATGTTGGAATCATTAGGCTTTTAAGAATTGCGTAAGATGTTTCTCAGGTCCCAAATTCCAGCGAAATAGCTGATGCCAAGCAGTCTGAAGACATCCACAGAGCAACAGAATCAGCATGAGAATAGTTTCTTCATCTTCCTTTCTCATGATTGCACCCTGCACTCTTCAACCAGTGATTTCCACACTTTAAAACCCTTAAAAACCCCAGCTCCAAACTCCTTGGGAAGACGGATTTCATTTTCATCCCACCTCTTGTTCTGCAGCCTGACACTAAACCGTCTTTCTTTGCTGCAACCTGCTGTATAGACATGCCGTGCTCACGGGGCAACAGACCTGCTACGGTTATAACATTGGCACGAAAACACACAATGGAAGAACAGAGCCCAGAAAGAAATCCAAACTCATGGTCAAATGATCTCTGACAAGGGTGCCAAAATCACACAACGGGGAAAGGACGATCTCTTAAATACATGGTGTTGGGAAACTGGATACTTGCAGGCAGAAGAAAGCAACTAGACCCTTCTTTTACTTCATATAGTAAAATGAGGCCAGGCGTGGTGGCTCACCCGAGGTCAGGAGTTTAAGACCAGCCTGGCCAACATGGGGAAACTCCGTCTCTACTAAAAATACAAAAATTAGCCAGGTGTGGTGGCAGGAGCCTGTAGTCTCAGCTACTCAGGAGGCTGAGGGAGGAGAATCACTTGAACCTGGGAGGCGGAGGTTGCAGTGAGCCGAGATTGTGCCACACCCGGCCTGGGTGACAGAGTGAGACTCGGTCTCAAAAAAGTAAAAAAGAAAAAAAGAAAAATGAAGTTAAAATGGATTAAAGACATAAAAGTATGACCAGAAGCTGTAAAACTACTGGGAGAATACATAGGGAAAATTCTTCGCATCGCCCTTGGCAATGAGTTTTTGGCGATCACACCAGAAGATCATCCTACGAAAGCAAAAATAAGTAAATGGGACTGCGTCACACTAAAAATGTCCCGCACAGCAAAGGAAACAATAAAATGAAAAGGTAGCCTACAGACTGGGAGAGACTGTTTGCAAACCATATATCTCATAAGGGGTTAATATCCAAAATAGGGCTGGGCATGGTGGTGGCTTACACCTGGAATCCCAGAACTTTGGAAGGCCGAGGTGGGAGGATCGCTTAAGCCCAGGAGTTTAAGATCAGCCTAGGCAACATGGTGAGACCCCATATCTACAAAAAATGGAAAAATTAGCTGGGCATGGGCTGGGCGTGGTGGCTTACACCTATAATCCCAGCACTTTGGGAGGTCGAGGCGAGCAGATCACGAGGTGAGGAGATCGAGATCATCCTGGCTAACATAGTGAAACTCCGTCTCTACTAAAAATACAAAAAAAAAAAATTAGCTGGGCGTGGTGGCACGCGCCTGTAGTCCCAGCTACTCGGAGGCTAAGGCAGGAGAATCACTTGAACCTAGGAGGCGGAGGTTGCAGTGAGCCGAGATCGCACCACTGCACTCCAGCCTGGGTGACAGAGAGAGACTCCATCTCAAAAAAAGAGTAGAGAAGAAAAGAAAAATTAGCGGGGCATGATGGCATGTGCCTGTAGTCCCATTACCAGGAGGCTGAGGTAGGATTACTTGGGTCCAGGAGGTAGAGGCTGCAGTGAGCTGTGACCACTGCACTCCAGCCTGGATGACAGAGCAAGACCCTGTCTAGAAAACAAACAAACAAACAAAAACAACAAAACATAGAACTCAAACAACTCAACAGCAAAAAACCAAATAACCCTGATAATAAATGGGCAGAAAACTTGAACAGCTATTTCTTGATAGAACACATACAAATTGCTATAAGTCTATGAAAAATTGCTCAAGATCACTACTATTATTCAGGGCCACACAAAGTTAAACCACAATGAGATATCACCTCATACGTGTAAGAATGGCTTTTATTAAAAAACAAACAAACAAAAATAACATGTTGGCGAGGCTGTGAGGAAAAGAGGATCCTTGTACACTGTTGGTCAGAATGTAAATTAGTATAGCCAGTATGGAAAACACTATGGAGATGCCTCAAAAAACTAAAACTATCAGATGACGCAGCAATCCCACTCTGGGTATATATCCAAAGAAAATGAAATTAGTATGTCATGGCGATACCTGTGCTCCCATGTTCACTGCAGTAGCATTATTCACAGTAGTCAAGATAAGGAATCAACCTACATACTCATCAGGAATGAATAAAGAAAGTGTGGTCAAGATAACACAATGCAATGCTATCCAGCTTTTACAAAGAGGGAAATCCTGTTATTGTGGCAACATGGATAAATTTGGAGGGCATTGTACTCAGTGAAATAAGCTAGACACAGACAAATGCATGATGTCATTTACATGGTAAAAAAAAAAAATCAAACTTACAGAAGAAGAGAGGTGGTTGTCAGGGGCTGGGAGGGTGATGGGGAATGAGAAGATGAAAGGAGTGGGAATAATTTCTGGAGATTTATTGTCTAGCATGGTGACTCAATATAATGAGTAATATTGTGTACTTTATGCCAAGAGAGTAGATTGAAATGTTCTCATTGCAAGTATGATTATCAGTGAGTTGAGGGATATGTGAGTCAGTTTGATTTAATCCGCAGTGTGTACACAGATCAAAGGCTCCGTAGACCATAAACATACATAAATTGTCACTGAAGACATGTGCCAACCTCGGCAACTCATACTCAACATTAAACCATATGGTTCTCACAGCTCACACAAAGGGGGAACTGAAAAAAATACAGCAGCTGTCCGCCCAAAGAAGTCCAAGTCAATAGAACAAATTTCGATTTACTGCATATTGAAAAACATCCCTGCCTTTGGGGACAAAGAAATTTGCACAAACCCCACTCTTAAAAGTCTTACAAAACTGACAACTTTGCCAGGTACAGACTAAACAAGCTAACTTTCTCTTTTCTTGTGCTCTAAAAATCAGCCCCATGGAAAAGACCAAAGATATCTGTGTTTGACTCCACCTAAAAACGAATCCCTTCCTTACCCAAGCACGCCGTAAAATAAAGTGCTAACATGAACCTCTAGGAGGGATTTTTCTGTAGCATCAGATCTTAGAAAACCAGAGCACGCAGCAGGACGTCAACAGTTTGACAAATGGGTTTGTGGATATTCAGAGGAGAGGGCTGGTCAACCAGGGGTACGGGGAGGAATATACCTGCCTGGTCCTTGCCACACCCCCTAGGAAGGAATTACTGGGATACGCCGCTATTAGGGAGGTTATCTGGGGCCATAAAGAGTAAAGAGTCCTAAGTCATATAAACACAAATCATTTAATGAACAAAAAAGGTACCTCATGTGGAGAGCTGACTTGAAGACATATAATATATTAGGTCAGTGCAAACGTAATTGACGTTAAAGGTAATGGCAAAAACCCCAATTACTTTTGCACCAACCTGAATAATAATTTTTTCCCCTCAGGATGCTGTTTCTGCAGGATGCCAGCCTAGGGGAAAGGAAGAACAAGACCCTAGGGTCTTTCTGGAGCACTGGCTGCATGAACAAATACCCTCCAGGGCATGCCTGCCCCCAGGCCATGGCCGAAACCAATCCGAACTGAGAGGACACTGGCA